CGGCACCATCATATGTCAATTTACTTAAGTATTAATAAAAGTCTGGAGCAGGAGCTACACCCCAAATATTAAAAAAAAAAAATTATTAAATTAGCTATAGGCTAGTAGTATTACTTAGAGACCTTTTATAATACAAGTTTACTAGTTTATTAGTACTATTTAAAAATATATTAAAAATTTAAAAATGTTAATCAAAGTGTTACAACAACTAGAAATGCAATGAATCTTGTCTGCAATCCAATAAATAATAGTACTATTAAGTTAAAGCTAGAATATTATTTTAGTAAAGTTAAAAAACAATATTATAAATTAGCAACTATAATAAAAAATTTGAATAATTATAAAGTTATTTCAATTGATAAATATTTACTATTGAATTGTAATTACTAATATAGCTTTAGAAACTACTATAATATTATATAGATATTATTATAAAAACTGTCTTGAAATCTTAAATTTATGTGGCAAATACCAACTAACCCAAATATAAAATATAAAAATTTGCAAGCACAAGCTATTATTAATATTCAAAATAAGTTACCAAAATATTTTACTGAAGCAATATATAAAAATATATTTGCTAATATATAATATAAATTTATAGTTTAAATATATATTAATTTTTTAATTATTTTAAATAGTATTTTTTATTAAGTAAAATTACACCACATGTTTTATCATTATTATAATATGATTTATCAGGAGATATTAGTATAGCAGAAAATTTTACAAAACTGTATAGAGTTTGATTTTTTCAAATATTCGGGTTTAAAGGTTGGAATTAGAGTAAGTATTCATATACTTTTTTTTTGTATCAGAATTTTGGGCAAAAATAATTTTTTAATTTAGGTTGTACAAGGTTGCATTAAACTTAACTTTTCTAGATATTCTTTTTTAGAGCTTAGAATTAGTGTTGTTAATTGTGTGCTTTAAATATTAAAAAGTTAGTTATTTATTTGTATTTAGTAAAATTGATAAATATTGTAGTTATTTAGAGTGTGATATTTAATAGTAACACGTAATTATTTATTTTATACTGTGATATATTTTTTGACAAATAAAAAATTAGTGATATATAAGCCGTTGTTATATATGTGACAAATAACTTAATCCTTACTATATATAGTAATTTGTATAACTTTACTATAGTAAATTAGTTTTTAATTCATATTTTAATAACTACTAATTTTATTAAGCTAAAATTTTAACTGTATATTTAGCATATATATGGCAATACACTTGCACAGTACAAACTTATAAAGTTGCATATTGGTAGCAAAAATAATTTTAAAAAAATTTTTTTCTTTTTTTTAAAAAAAAATTAAATTTTAAAAAATTATAACACAGTAAATTTATTATAAAAAGATAATAAAAATTATATAAAAAATAGCTTAAAGCTTTCTTTATTAGATATAAAAAAATTATTATTATTATTATTTTTTTTTAATCTTAGGCAGTTTCGCCAGTACTTTATTAAGATTCTAAGTATATTACTAAATTATACATTTGTTTACTCCTAATTTGCAAGCTTGACATCACCCAGCTACCTAAAAGGTGCCCAAGTGCAACCTGCTACACTAATTTGAAGATTACTCTAAAAACTAGGGGCTGTGTTAAATCAGCCTAAGTGCCATACCAAAATGGCTTTCCACCAACTCTAATTCTATTCCATATTGTCTTCTTTACCAAAGCATCTATTCTTCTATTTGTAATTTTCTTTCTATCTTTAACTTTCTGTAGTATGGCTTCTTTAGGGTTAGATGGTTTTCTACTCTTCTGATGAGAATTTTTCTGTGTTTCTGTCTTTTCTTTTCTTTTTTCCTGTTAACCTTTTTTTTATCTTGCACTTTGGTCCTTTTTCCTAATTTTTGCTGCTTAGAGATGCTTTTTCTTGTTCCCACTCTATTATCTTTTCACATCTTGATCACTATACAATTTCATGAAATCCATTCCACAAGACATGTATTGCTGCATCTAAAGCTAGATTTGCTTCTTTTTTTGTTAAGCCTTGGTCAATAAGCTCTTCTATGACTGTGCTTTTAAATAGACCTCAAGTGTAGCCTTCTCTTCGTTCTTTTTGCTCTTTGTACATTTCACCAAATAGACATTTTTGGAGTTCACTTGTTCATAATTTCCCTCTTCTCTCAGGTTTGCTTATAAGGGCTTGTACTGTTTCAATTGCTGCTTGCTCAATTTTATGCCAATTGGTCTGCTGTGCTCTGCAGCATGCTAAATGATCTTGTGTTTTTTCTATATTATCTTTATACAACTTGCAGCTACTCTTCTCATATAGGTCTGGCCTTCTTTTAACGAGGTTGCTCAGTACTGGGTATAAAAAAATTATAAATATATAGCAAAAATTAAAAAACTTTTATATTTAGACAAAATTAACTATTAATTTTGGTATATCTATATTTTTGTACTGGCCTATATTAATATTTAATTAATTATATAGTATTAAATAGTAAAAAACATTTACTATTTATATATATAATATAAAAATAAGGAGTTAAATAGGTGTCACACCTCTGCGATGTACTTGTATATCGCATATTAATGATAGGCCAATAAAATTTCAAGATTATGCATAATGTAACACAATCAGAAAATTCAAAACAAAGATTTATTTTGACAAAAGTCATTATAACTCAAATTTCATATATGAAACTGTCCTTCACTTTATAACAAAAAAAATTTCTTGCAAAATTTTACTATAAAGCTTTTTTCTTACATGCTCTAACCCTAATTCTAACTAATAAAGCAGTTTATTTATATTATGTCTAAAAAATAAATAATTATATATACATGTGATATATAAGCACATTGCAGAGTGCGATGCATATATTTATCCTAAAAATAATTATAATTTAAAACCAAATAAATTTTAAAAAAATTTGTTTTATAAATTTGTTGAAAAGCTACAATTTTGTTAAAACAGGTTTTATTTTTTTATATTATTGGATTTGAAAGAAATATTAATAATTCAAATTTATTATCTGGTATTCTAATAGGTTTGCAGAAATAACAATCTAAATTTCTATATTTTTTAGTTTAAAATATATATAATCTAGAGTATTAAAAAATTTTTGTTATAATTGTTGTTTTTTAAAAGCATTATTAGTAGGTATAATTTTTTTAAGAGTAAGATCAATTGTTAAAATATTTTATAGATTTTAATTAATAAAATTTAAATTTAATATTAATAAAATAGAATTTTTAATAAATTTAGAGTTCTAACTGTAGTAATTTTTAATAATATTATATACTTATATTAAACAATTTATCAATATCAGAATTTATAGCAGGACTTCTAGTTATAAAAATATTATTATGAAGTTTTAAATATTTTGTTCAAATATTTAAAAGTATTTAAATATTTGAAATTGAATTTTGTAATTTATTTTTTAAACTAGATAAATTTTTAGCCATATTGCAAAATTCTTTTAAAGTTTTAAATAAGCAAAAGTTTTTTCAGATAAATTACTTATAAAATCTTGTTATAAAGAAACATTTTATAATAAAAGATTTAAAATTGATATTATCTTTTTAGCTGAATTAGTCTAACTATGATAAGATGCTATATATGCTGCTATTAACATATTAAAATTTCTTTGTAAAAATAAACAAATAAGTAAAATCTGAACTAATTCATAAGTACATCTATGATCTGGCCTATCTTCAGTATATAGAGCTAAAATTTCAAGTAAATCTTAATTATAATAATCATTTAAAATTTGATAAAATTCAATAGCATGTCTAAGTACTATACTACAGTAGATTAAAATATAGTATTTTTATATATTTTATATATCTGACTATTATAAAAAAATTCTATTGAATCATCAGATATTGTAGCTATGATTGTTACAAATAGTGTTAAAAATAATTTGGTAAAATTATAATTATTAGCTGCTAATATTGTATTTGCAAAATAGCTAAATAATAATTATATATACCAGAGTATTTTCTTTTATAGAAATTTTATATTTATTATTAGCAAAAATCAATTTAAGATTATTTTTAAACTTTATTAAAAAATAGCAAAGATATTTAAAAATTGCTCTGCAATAATGACTATCAGGATGTGATTTTTATAAAAAATGTATTTAATTTCAAATTAATCCATATATTCTATATTAGCTTTAGCCTAAAGAGAAATTGATAACTAATCCATCTTTCAGAAGAAATTGCAATATTATCAAAATCCGTTACATTAGACAACTTATTTTTAATTTGAATAATAATTTGATCTTTAAAATTATATATAGAAATAAATGATAGTATATAAAGTATTGATTCATATCTATAATCTTGAACTGCTGGGATATTCTATTATAAATAAATTTATTAAAAAGTTTAAATTTGTAATATATAGTAAAACAAATTTGTAAGCTAATTTTTATTAAATTTAATATAATAAATTAAGAAAATTACTTTATATCACTACTGGTAATTATCATCAGTATAGTTTTTAGAGTTAGAGTATATTTTTAAAGGTTTTTTTTATATAATATAATATAGATTAGATATAGAGTTTTAATTTTAGTTTTTATAAGATTTTTAAGGGTTTTGAATATTTTTACTTAGAATACCTGATCCTGTTTAATCAGTAGGTTTTTGAGATATATGGTGCAGGAAATCTATACTTAACAGTTACACAAAGTGTTTCAATTTTTTAAATGGTTATAACTTTTTATCTAAGGGGTTTTAAAAAAATCTGACCAG